ATTCATAATTTGTTTAGTGTCCCAACTTTTTTGGAATCTGGTTTGTACATCCAATCTCATTCAAGATGGCCACTACAGATAAGCAAACACAAAAATGTCTAAAGCTCAGTCAACTTTACAGATAAAGAGCTAAAGTTTGATGCTGAAACCAAAACAGTCCATGCTCAATAATCCAGGTAATCCAGGTCTACAATCCAACAATTTTCAGTCAGGTCATCTGGGCAGTTTATTTTATTGCTGAAATGTTTCACCTTCCATCCAGAAGGCTTCATCAGTAAGGCTTCCGGATGGAAGGTGAAACGTTTCAGCCAAAAAAGAAACTGTCCAGATGACCTGACTGAAAATTGTTGGTTTGATGCTGATCATGAATGTACTTTGAGTACCAACACACCTGCATGAGATTGTGCATAACATCTTCCACAAGATCTGACCAAATTGTCTACAACTTTGTCTCTTTTCAGTAAAAGCATAATTTATTTTAGTTTAAGTCACTAGTACGAAGGGAACAGGCAATATGCATCCCTTCAAGAAACTCTAGAGTTTTAATTAAGCAGAAAAAAAGACATTTACAGAACTGTGATACCCATTTAAGCCAATAAATGTATATTTTGTAGTAATTTGTGATATCTTCGTTTTCCCTAAAACAATTTTAGTTGTAGAAACCTTCAAACACAAGTTTCATTTGTTATTTTACATACATTCAACATATAATTGTGAGCAGGAAGATGTTCTAATTGATACTTAAAAGTACTTAGATTCGGTAGATTTGCTTTATTATATGATACAACAGCTAAGGACAGCGTTGGCATACATGGGGCCAAATATTCACTGCTTGGAGACATTTGACCAAATGTTGCAGTGTTTTGGACGACAACAGACCGGACCCAGCTTTTAGGACGACAACAGACTGGACCCAGCTGCGTTAGGACGACAACAGGCTGGAACCAGCTGTGTTAGAACGACAACAGACTGGACCTAGCTGCGTTAGGACGACAACAGGCTGGAACCAGCTGTGTTAGAACGACAACAGACTGGACCTAGCTGCGTTAGGACGACAACAGGCTGGAACCAGCTGTGTTAGAACGA